ATATATATATATATATATATACACACCTTATTTGAAACAGGATGTTGCTTGTGTCAATAACAGCTGAAAAAGAAAAGAAAAGAAACCTAGCAAAATGTCTGTCTGGATCTGAACTCACAACCCGGAGGTGTGAGGCAGTGGGAAGTGTGAGGGAAGTGTCAGTGAGAAGCCCCATGGCAGTACTAGAATATTCTCTCGTCCTCAGTTATACAGCCATGGAGAGATTCCCCCCATTTGGGTTTCTGAGGAGAAGTTAATGTACAGGAACCCTTTGGCGGTCTCTCCACCATCTGCTTGCAGTCCTCAGTGGAGTTTTCCTGAACTTCAAGCAAGTCTTCAACAGAACCTGAGTCCTGGGCAGGGAGAACACAACACATTTCAAAACCAGCTTGAAGCTTAGTGGACCAGCTCCAGTGATTTTTCAATTACAGTGATAAATCACCCCCCCCACCCCCCCACACCCCCCCCAGAAAAAAGTAGTTTTCACACTGCTTCTCCTGGCTTCACCAGGTACAAGGTGCTGTTCTCCTCGGGGGTCTAAGGACATGGGCTTGGATTGGTTTTGTTACCTGGCACAAAGGTATGGAGCTGTTCCGATCGGGTTGACCCTCCATGATTGGCCCAAGTGCTGTTTGTTTGTTTGTTTGTTTGTTTTTAACTTGTCCTTCCTTGGCAAAAGACCAAATCTGAGACAGTTTCTCTAAGTGGAATTGAACCGTATTCGAAAATGCTCCTTCTGTCTCCCACTGACTCCATCGTCCCATTATCGGAAGGGGTGAACTTCCAAGATGAAGAAGCTATCAGACTCGCAAGAGAAGGCAAGACGGAGAGCGATGAGCTCCAGAACCTGAGCATCTGTCCTGTTTTAACTGACACCTGGTGACCCTGATAATCTTCTACTGGTCTGGGTAGAAGGGAACAAGGTGTTTTTATCACCAAACACAGTTGGTAACGTGATGAAGGCCATTTCTGGGTTTGTTAACTTTAAAGGACACGTTTCCTACCCCATGTACGTTCACATTCCCGCTGCTGACTCTCCTTTATGTTACTATGTCTGTTTTAGACAAAAAATACAAGTTGGCTTTTTAGATGTTTTCAGAAAAACGGTGTTTTAAACCCAGGATAGCAATTTGATTGAGACTTTCTATAGTCAAAAATAAAATAATTACAGGGTGAATTCAGGGCTCTGGCTTTTGAGTTCATGCTTGTAACTCCTACCCAAGGCCCCTTGATCAGCGTACAATCTGCATTTCACTGCCGTGACCTTGGCTGATTTTTGTCTGAACTGGTGCAATTGAGTTATAAGAAATCAGCCAAGAAAGGTCCCTGAGGAGAGCGAACGGGGAATTGTGTTTGCATTTTTCCTGCTAGCACAGGGCTTAAGTAGAAACTTAGAATCTGATGCCTTTGCGCCTCGCACTCCTACTCTGTTTCTCTCTTTTCCAGACTCTTAGAAACTCCGCGCCCTGCTCCTGGCTTTGCTGTGGTAGGTGTGGATGAGGCCGGGCAAGGAGAGTCCCTGCGCTCTCGTCTCTTCTCATGCATGCTTCTGCCGGTAACATGGCGTATCGGCGGTGTTATTCATTTAAGGAAGTGGGGGGAGATGAGAATGTGGTTGGGACAGAAACCTGTCATTGAGTAAGAAATGACACGCTGTAAAATCTGAAGAGCAGTGTTACAAGGAGATAAACAGAAATCCGGCTTGATGAAAAGTTATTTAATTACAAGGGCTTAGAGTAGAATGCAACGTCTATGAAGATGGAGACTTTTGCTTATTTTTTTTTCTTTTCACTGCAATGTCCCAGTTCCCTGGAATGGTGCCTGGCACATAATAAGTCAATAAATATTCATTGAATGAGTGAGGGAAGGCTAAAACCAGGCACAGCCATGGTGTGACAGTCTGTCAGACAAAGTGGAAGACTGATGTGTGGGGAAATGGAGGCAAGTAGGCCTCCACAGCATGCTGCGAAATCTGGAGCCTGGACCTCTGAGTGGGCACATTGTGATGACAATGATGATGTGTCTAGGAAAGGGCAAGGGATAGATCATTGTGATATTACCGGTACTTATCCGATGCCTGTGTGGAACAAGATCGCCTCTTGTCCCTCGGTCTGTATATAAAGATCAGAGGTTGGGACACCATTGGCAGCTCATGGATGGCCAAGCCTTTGTGTCTAAAATGGTGGGCCTGTTGAAGAAGTGAGGTAAGTGAGGGGTATTTAGAGCTTCCCCCTTGGCTCTTCAAAGATGGAGGTAACTGAAGAAGGGTGGGAGTACCTTGGGAGCCAACACCATGCTGACTCTGTGGCGTGTGTATTAACACCTTCCCTGACTGCCATGACGAAAGCCCACAGACTGGGTGCCACAGCAGTAGACAGTCATTAGCTCTCCGTTCTAGACGCTGGCAGCCTAAGATCAAGACGTTGGCGGGCTTGCTTTCTCTTGGGGACTCTTCCGGGCTGTGTTCCAGCGTGACCTGTTCTTGTCTGTCAGGGGAGGCTGGGTGAAAGCCACGGCACTGTCTCTCTCCTTTTTATTGTAAAATCTCAGTGCTCACGGGCTGGCGTGGGCTTCACCCTGTAACCTCATTTAACATTGACCACCTCACTAAAGGCTCCGCCCGTCTCCACGAGGGCTAGGGCTTTGATGTATGAATTCTGGGGGACAAATTTCAGGCCATGATGGGATTACATGGTACATTCTCAGGTTAACGTGACCATGGCAGCATTGGGAGGGGAGGGGGTGTCTGAGGCCATGGCAACAGTTTTCCCAGTGTGACTACGGTTATTAAAAATGGAGGCTCTTCTTGTGTGAGGACTGGTCTCTGATCTCCAGCGCGCGCGCGCGCGAGCACACACACACACACACACACACACACACACACACACACACGTGGTTGAAAAGCCTAGCAACAGGCATGTTGAGTAGGAAGAGAGCCAGCCCACTTTTCTATCCAGCTATTTTTAAAGAAGTGATAGCTGCACTTGGACTCTCAAGTTCATATGGAAACCACCGAAGAACGTGAATTATTTACCGGTCGCATCAGCGTTCTTGGGAGGCATTTTTATCCCATTCAGTATGGAAAGGATCATGCCAGAAATGCAGGGGTAGAAGGACCCTGGGAAATCTATACTCTTATTTTCTTTTTCTTTTTTCTTTTTTCTTTTTGTTTTTTTCGAGACAGGGTTTCTCTGTGTAGCTTTGCGCCTTTCCTGGGACTCACTTGGTAGCCCAGGCTGGCCTCGAACTCACAGAGATCCGCCTGCCTCTGCCTCCCGAGTGCTGGGATTAAAGGCGTGCGCCACCACCGCCCGGCTTATACTCTTATTTTCTTAGCAGGGCCTTGTAAAACCAGGGAAGTTGAAGCTGGCTTAATGCCTTGAAGCCAGTGAGAGGCAGGAGAAGCACCAGGTCCCACACCGCACTTGACTTTGTACAAGCACCTGGAGCCTTCTGATGGCCTGGCTTCTAATTGGTGGCCAGGAGGGCTCACTCCACCCTCACGTTTGCATTTGGTCTTCAGTGAACTAATTGGATGATAAATGTTCAGTGTCTTATGTCCTCTGTGCCTATCCGGGGGAGAGAAAACCAAGGCATCCTATCTCACGGTGATCAAACCAACCTTCCTGGAAAGGGCGTACTCGATTTTACAAGGCAGTTAAGAGTCTGGCAGGCTTCTAGAGGATCTTGGTTTCCTTGGAATCTTCTGAGGGCCTTTGGGGTCAGATCTGGATGTAAATCAGTTCTGTTCCTGTGTCTTTCAGCAGCCTTGGGGCTCATTACACCTCATTCCCGCCCCCCGCCCCCCCCCCCATACCACAGGGTTGGGCACAGATACACGCTGGCTTTGGGGAGGTCACTGTGGTTATTGTCGCCACGTGTTACATACCCCACTACTGTTATAAGCAGCTGGTGTTGACATCCCCTAACTCCCGGTGACAGACAGCAGAAGGGTTGCCTCAGAGATCAGCCTCCAGCTGGCCCTGGAGGTAAACCCTGAAGGCTGCTTCATTTTCATGGAACAAATAGCACTTCCAATCTTCTTTACAATGCTCTCTTATTTCCCACCAAGATCCTGATATTTGGATTCTGTGAGACTCACTTGTGGGTCTCTATGCTCACCCTGTATTGCCCCCATAAAGGATTCTTCCTCTGCCTTGGAGTATTGGAGGAAAATGTGAACTGTGACCTTTCTACTCAAGTTTCTCCTGTTTTTTTTTTATAGACTCATGAGCATTTCATAATGTAGGAACCAAGAAAATCTTTGAGTATAAATCCCAGCTCTGCCTCAATATCTGTGTGATCTTGAGCAAGTAACTTAACTTGTTTGTGCCTCATTTCTAGGAGGTGGAGATAATGGCGTCTTTTGCACCATCCAGTCGTCCTGGTAGTCAGTGAGCTAGTCCATGAAGACCACTCCTCCCATAGCTCACAGCACACAGTGAGCACTCAATGGAGGTTGTCATTGTTAATATCAAGGCATTGAAGACAAAAATCAAAGTGCTTTGGTAGGACGGCTTTGAAAGGGAAGGGAGTGAAATAATGGAGGGGAATCTCAGAACAAAATGCTCTTGGTGCCGACCCATGAAAGCAGCAGGCATCGAGGTGAGTTCTGAGGACGGAGGTGCAGAGGGGGTGGACGGCATCTGTTCTATGTCACGCCACGGGGAGAGGAATATCAGCTTTCAGGCTGGGCCTCGCCTAACGTGACTCCACTTTCTAAAGCAACAAATCTGACCCGAATTACTCTCTTTTGAGTGCAAGTGCCAAAAAACAATGACTCTACATCTTGTTTGTGCACGTAAACAGCCACCATCTGCCAACACCAGGAGGCACAAACTGATAAATAATTTATTTGTGCCAATAAATCATGACACCTGAAAATACACCAAATCATATCAGAAACACGTGGCATATGAGCCTATTAATCACTCCAGATGGAGACTCCTCACCTGAGACTGTGAAAGAAGGTGTACCCAGGACCAAAGTGTAGCATCTAGGCTCACCGGTCACCTGGCCAAGTCCTTAGCCGTGTCCAGAAATGAGCTGGAGCCAAGGACTCTTGTCCTGTTCTCGGCAACGGCCCGGGTACAGTTTCTCCTGCCCATGACACTCGGTCCACTCCAGACTGACCCTCCCTTTGACAAGTGTGTGTGAAGAGCTGGCACCGGCTGATCAGAGGACTTCTCATATGGTCCCCTGCAGACTTCCTCTGAGCAGGCTTCCCTCTGTCAGAACCCTGCAGCCTCCTTAGTACTCTCTGTCAGCTTTTAACCCTGGTGCTCGTAAATCTTGCAGAGGGTTAACGTGTGATCGGAGTTAACTTTAGTAATTAAGATTGGAATAAAAGAATTGGCACTTGCCGGTGGCCAGCTATCAAGGGAAATTGGGACCACATTGGTAAATTACAGACAAGGAAACTGATAGAGCTGGTGAATTTATTGGTTAGCCGATAAATTCCAACATGGTGGAAAGACACTGATGTGACCATCTCTGTTTCTGACATAACCCACTCAGGGCGTACAGCTTACAGGAGTCACTCCTCAGCCATGGGAGATCCAGTCTGGGACACTCTGCCATTGTTAGAGGCCCAGTTCTGACACATGCATGCTTATAGTAACACTCAGTTTATAAGCTAGGCATGGTAGGAGACTAACAACATTAACTACTATAAAAAAAAAAAAAAAGGGCAGCCATCGCAGTATACCGCCATGAAAGCCGTGTGAGTGGGGTTTCTCCCCCTCTAGCTCTTGGTATACTTCATTCTGTGTGTGACCTGCTTTGTGGTGACATGAGAAGATGCAATCCCTGAATGACAAGAAGAAACGCGGACAGTGACAGAGTTGTTGAGACACACTGCTGTGCTACTCTGGAAAGGTTATTGGAACAAAAGCACGGGATACCACGGCAAACCTATCTAGTCACGGATGAGCTGCTGAATAGCTGATGAGAGGGTGAGCTATACAGCGTGGATACTGGAGCGAGGCCCAGCTGCTCCTCCAGGTGGAACAGAGCAGGCTGACAGAACAGCACACAGCCTCACAGTGTGAAACACAGGGATTGTTTATTTCTCCAAGTTTCATCAGTGTTTTTAGACCACAATTGACCTGTCAGTGACACCCCAGATAGACAGGGGGGCAAAGGCAATTCCTGTTAAAAAATTAAATGCATTGGTTGGATGCCTTCCTTTCTACAGGGAGTTTATCAATAAATTGGTGCATATTTAAAAGGCATACTTGGTTAGTCAGCATCGTTCTCTTCCTCTCTCCCTCCTTTCCTCTCCCCTCCCCCTTCCCCCTTCCTCTCTCTCTCTCTCTCTCTCTCTCTCTCTCTCTCTCTCTCTCTCTCTCTCCTTTTCTTCCTCTCCTCTCTCTTTTCTCCCCTGTGCATGGCTTTGGAAAACAGACTTGGCTCAGACTCATCACCTACCAAGTCCTGGGGTCCCCAGGCGTGTGCCCACATGCCCGGCTTCAAAGTTTGGTGGTTGAGGGAGATGGGAGGGGAGAGAATGGAAAGAGACTCCTGTGTTAATCCATGGGCAGACAAGGTGGGGTGAGCACAGTCTGCTGTACCATTAACTCCTTGAACATAAGGCAGTTATTTCCTTATAAATTCCAACGTTTCTAGCTTATGAAGATGGGAAATTTTGTCTTTAAAAGAAAAGCACGTGGGTCAGATGCTGTAGAAGCACTCTGCGCTATAAAGAACAGAAAGGTGATCTGAGAAGCTGGCACAGTGGGTACCTCACGACATTCGCCCAACCGTTTGCTGAAGCTGAACCCTGCCTTCTGGTAACATGGAAAGGTTTTGGCTCAGTGCGCATGTGCAGCGCTGGAATTTTGAGACTCTACTCCCTTGACCTCCTCAGGACTGTCCCCTCCCCACCGCCAGGAGAATCATGAGCGGTAATTTTCAGGATCCACTTAGGTACCTCCTCCCAGATTTGGCTGAGGAGGCTTCCTGGATGCTCAGCTACAGACAGAATTGGAAGGTAAGCAGGGAATCCCTGGTTTCCAAAGGGAAATGGGCATGGTGCGGTGGTATCTCACGGAGGGCCCTTGTGGGGTTCTCTTAGAACATCCGAGCTTCCTTGGCTTGGAAACCCCCAGTGGTGCTCAGACTAAGGGTCCAGGAGACAGTCCCTGGATGGGTGACTTGGTGGCTGGTGGGAGGTGTCTGGCAGTTCATGTCTGGCTCCGGTTTTCACCCTGTCTTTAGGTGCTGTTCCTGACTACAGCCAAACCCTAACCTGTCAAAACCTTTCACGGTATTTCCCCTTCTCTGCATCTTGCTCATCAGAGTCCCTAGGGCACCTGGGAGGTTTTCTCTCGGCCTTTCATTTAAACGGACTTTTACCTCGTGTTGGCTCATCAAAGTGACTTAACAGCAACGATAAAATAAAACGATTTGTCTTGCCTTGCAGTTGTAATTCTTTGCAGCCATAATTTTTCTGAACTGACAACCAAGTTTAAAAAAATAAAATAAAATTACCCGTCCTCCCCGACCCACATCCCCTTGTTAACAAAGGTGGTTGATTTTCCATCTTCCAGCTAAATTCGTCTGGCGGTAAAGCGCCCTGTGGACAGCAGGGGGCAGTGTTCATCTTTAAATAACGTGAGCCCGGCAGGCAGGCAAAGCTTTCCCAGAGCGGCCAAACACCCTTGGTGTCCAAGGAGCCAGCGAGCGAGGCCCCCAGAGCAAACACCGGAGTCTTTCAAACACAGATTTCCTGAATACAAATCTTACGGCCTGGTATGTCTAGATTTGCATTGATTTGTGACATTAAAACAAAAGCACTCCCATAAAACCGAATGGCAGGGACGTTAAGGCAGCAGGCGGCGTTATCTTCCTCGTGGATAACGCTGTAATCGCTTAGGGCTGTCGGGATGGTCACCCCGGGACCGGGTGGACCAGCCCGGGGTTATCAGAGCAGCTAACCTGGGAGGACCGTTTCTGTTTGATCTCGATTCTGGTCGTCACCCCGAAGGACAGATGAAAGAACTCCAGTTCGCGGAAGACCAGCCGGTGGCCGAGGCCTCTTCACTCTGGCTAGGGTGGGAGTGGGGCAGTCAGTCTCCACCGTGGTGTGTGAACAAAAAGCCCAGACCTGGGGCACACGGGTCAGTCCGCTTTGAACAACCGGGGAGCAGACATACTGAGCCTAATATGGTCAAGATTCCGGGGGCGCCGGGTGGGGGTTGCAAGCATCTTGACAGCTTCAGGGCCCCGGTAGAAAGCATCAGCCCACTGCAAACGGGAAGGAGAGGAATTCACCGCCTGGCCTCCGAGCCACCTGGAGGCGGGCAGTTACCTTCCCAAAGCGGGTCGAGTCCCAGGGCGGGCGCTGCTGAAGCCTGGAATCCTCCTCGGATAGACAGCCCCCACTTTATTCATTGGGGAATGAATAAATGTTGAGGACTCCCTATTTTTCTAAACTTTGGGATTTTTTTTCCTTCCAGGACATATTCCCAGTGGCTTCCCCCACACACACTGTGCTTCGTGTGAACCGCAGTTTCTTGCGGCGAGGGAAACATTGTTATGATGCTCTTACAAAATTTAACTGAAATCTGGACATGACTGGCTGACAAAGGCCGCGCCATCCTTCATGTTACTGGAAACTGAGTTCTCTTGGAGTAGAGAAGTGGACCTTAAGCAGGAGGGGAGGGCAGAGGAGAGGGAAGGGTAAAGGGAGGGGAGGGCAGGGCAGAGGGGGGAAGGGGAGGGTAAAGGGAGGGGAGAGTAAAGGGAGGAGAGGGGAGAGGAGAGGGGAGAGGAGAGGGGAGGATAAAGGGAGGGGAGGGGAGGGGAGAGCAGGGGGAAGGGGAGGGCAGGGCGGAGGGGAGGGGAGGGGAAGGCAGAGGGGATGTGTTTAGCAGATACTTCCTTTTCCTTTTCTCAGTCACTTGGACTTGACTTCAGCCTCACACGGGAGCAGCTGTGCCTGGAGTGTGTCTGACTTCCCGCACAGCGAAGGGATTTTAAAGCCCTGAGATTCTGGACTTCGGCAAGCACACAATCGCTCATCTGACCTTGAGCTGTGTTCCACAATCCCCTGCTCAGCATAAAGGCATATGTGCATGTTTAATGAGTAAGATCCGTAAGGTTGGGAAAAGAAAAAGCAACACCCTAGATTTATATATTCCATTAAACATGATCTTCATGGGCTAATTAGTTAGTAATTTCACCCTTGCTTGTAATATAAACCATTTTATGCTCAATAATAATAAAATCTATGTAAACCAGGCTCTTTATTAATAAACATTATGTGCTTCTGGCTTTCAAATAAAATAATGCTCCTAGTGCTTTTCCTCTTATCGTGCCTAGACTAATCACCCAGTAAATTCAAACAACTAAAATACTGGTTTTTATCTCATGCTGTAGAAAAACAATACGGGACATCAACAGCCTCGGGACCAGGCATGAACTAGAAAAGGCTGGGGTGGGCGAGAGATCCAAAGTGTTATTTCAGTGCTTGCGAAATATTGCGAAACTTGTAGGGCTCTGAGGGGCTTTGGGAAAGCATGTTTGTGTTTTCCCAAAGCCCATCAGCTAGTGCTAATGAAGCCAGGTGAAGGAGACGACTGCCTTGTGCCCACCAGCTTCCCGTGGCCCCTAAAAAATCCCCAAGAATCCCAGGAAGCAGTGGGGGTAGAGACACTGCTGGAATCCTTTTTACTTTATTTTTATTCTTTTGAGCCAGGGTCCCACCTAGTGCAGGCTGGCTTCAAACTTGCTGTGTGCCTGAGGATGACCTTGAGCTTCTTGCTTCTGTCTCAGGGCTAGGGGGGTGGGTGTGTGCAAGCACACCTCGTTCGTGTGATGCTGAGGGTGGGAGCCAGGATTGTGTGTGTGCACTAGGGGCCTATCATAACGGGGAATGTTAGTAAAATATGAACTACTCGAACTCCAGCGGTAGCTGGGAGTTAGGTGGGGCCAGCTAAATGTTTTGCAGGGGTTACTGGGAAGGAATACGTAGGCTCCGTCGTTCAAAATTAAGACGTTTGTGATGATAATATCAGAGCATGGGGCCAAGTGCAGGACCCAGTGAGATCGTCCAGGGAGTGAGCCCAGGAAGCAGCTCTGCCTCCGGAAGGCACGGTGGCTCTTAGCTTGCCACGCTAAAACTTTTCCCGGTCTATTTTGCCTGGCCAACAGACTGCTAGTTTCAAACAACAAGAGCAGCTCTGCCCATCTTGGAGCCGATATGAGCGTTTTCAAAGAGGATGCTTCCAATAGACAGGCTTCCTGTTGACATTGCTTCTATCTAGTGTGGTATCTGTGCTTGGAAAATGCCAGAAGGAAAAAAAAAACCACATTTTTAATTGACAAATGGAAACATCTTCACTGGGAGATGTATCACTTCAGAAGTAAGAGCATCCAAGGGCCTGGGGGACGCTGGTCATGAAGGCTGCTGCCCGCAGTTCCTGTCTGTGGGGTAACAGCAATTCAAAGGCTAATGTGTTGTTCCCTGAAGCAGTCCTTATAGGCATTAACCCACTAACCCACCGAACAGGATCCACCTTTATGGCAGGTAGGATTAGGTCCGTATTAGAGATTGAAGGCTGTCAGAAGCTAGATGGGTCGCTCGAGGTCACACGTAGCAGGTGTCAGGGGAGAGGAACTAGCTTCAGGGGGAGTGTGGGTTTTTCACCATCTCACTGTCCTCGGGCAAGAAGGGGACACAGAACCAAGTGATCTTGGAAATGGAGCCTACGTACAACCCTTCAGACACCAGATTTCACCCAGCGGGCAGCCAAAGCCCCCAGCCAGTCTGCCCTGATTTCCCAGGCCCACTCTCTGTACTCAGTTCGCTGTGGTACACAAGGAACAAGACGCCATCCCCACTGGGATGACCGCTCTGGACTGAATTAACCCATGCCATCAGGCAACCATTCCAATGAGCCAACGAGCTACTCGAACTGGCCGTAAATTGGGCTTGATTGATTGATTGGTCCTCAGAACTCGGTGATGGGCAGCTCAGTCAATGGACAGAGAGGAACTGGTCTTAGCAGTCCCAGCGCTGACATTAAATGACTCGTCAAGTTCTTCCTGTCAAAATCAGCACAAGTGGGACCGTGAGGAGGGTATCTTCTGGTCCCCTTCCTGTGACTCCAGCTAAACGGACTGAATCAGAGCAAGGAGCACACTGTTCCCTACACCTTCAAGGGCAGGGCTCCTAAGAGTGTTTGGACAGGTTCTTCTGTTCAGAAAGTCAAGGTTAGCTTCCACATCTGTGAGCCCTAGAGCAAGCCAGCAAGTCAGGTATCCCCCAAGCATTCTGGAAGAGCGAGCCGGAGGTCAGAGTGCAAAGAGGTGTTTGCTTAAGGCTGACTAAAGCACTAAATGGTCCGAGGAGAGTGGAAACCTGAGGGCTGACAAGCCCAGGAATGTTTTTAAGTGAGCAGCGGACGGTCACTTTACCCCATAAAGATCTGAAGGATGAGCCCACTCACCTGCATGCGGCTCTTTATTGCTGTTAAATATTTACAGATAAATGTTTAAGTGCCCGAGGGCAGGGGAAGCTTCGCTTATCAGAAAGCCCCCTTTAAAAGGCAGTTAACTCTGGGCCTGGCAGACCTATGAAAATGTTTTCTGTCCCATTCACTTCTCAACAGCTGCAAAGCTAATCGGGTTGGCATGGGCCATTCTAAAGGCTTTGCTGGGAAGGAGACCTTGGAACGTTCTGAATGAATTCAGGGCTGTGAAAGGGAAGGCTGACAAGGGCAAGTGTCCACAGACACATGACAGATTTATCCATGCGGGTATCTCTCTGTTTGAGAGGGGAATAGGTAGGAGCCATTCAGGGGTCTGCTTTATTCATTCATAAATATTCAGGAGCTATTTATCGAGTGTCCTCTCTGCCTGGTGGTATGCTAGTCGTAACGAGAGAGCCGCAACTCTGCCAGAAAAGACCTCTGCCTTCCAATGCATCCAGCACAGCAGGAAAACAAAACCGGTGTCCACTAGGTGCTCAAGCGTCGGCACCACATGTGGAAAGGCTGTGCCAATCTCTGTGAAAGCAATCTTCACCTGAAGGGCAGGTGCGCATTCTTCCTGCCCACCACTAAAGATATGCCTAGGGAAAAATCAAGGAAGTGTGAAATAGGATCCTATACGAATGCGAGCTATAAAATTTAATTAGTTATGTGCACCTTAAAACAAGGAGTGCTGTTCACCGTTATATAAATCAGAGCAACAGTTTACTCTGTAAAATATTTCTATGGATGGCGAATCTCATCGAGTTGAACATTTAGTGTCTTTCACTAACGGTGCTCTGGGACCAAAGGGCAGGGTTAGAGATGTGACATGGGAAGGGTCTTTCACATCTTCCCCAGAGTTTTGTCATCTGAGTAGTCAAAATGCGAATTGTGTCCTTTGGCCATACTGTCCATTGTCCTGTAAAGAGCAAGCCTTTGGTAGAGTTCCGTACTGTAGGATAATCTCATGGTTAGAGCTGATTTCTCCCAGGCATTATCAGTTTGGGAAGCTAGTTCTGGTCATTGAACTATTAAAGGAACTTAAGAACATTCTAGCCTTCTGTAGCCTCCACGTGAGGCTACGTTGTTGTGATCAGTTCCTGAAGAAATGACCACGTTGAACTGGAGTACTGGCTCCCTTTATATCTCTGTGGGTCTGTCAGGGTTTGGGAAATGCTTTCAGCAGGTTTCCCAGGCAGTTCACATTCATTTATCTTCAGCCTCTTGTGTCAGATTCTTTTACCGAATCCTTTGGCAAATATTACCTTCTAGATGTCCCAAAGTCTGAGAGTAAGTAAAACATGAACTTCAGAATTCTGCATCCTCAGGACCCAGATATTCTGGATGCTGAAAACACTACCCCACAGCCTCTGATGATGCTGTCCCATCCATACTTGTGAGGCTCAGAGTAAGAATAAGTAGAGTAATGGAGCTTACAGATAAAATTTTAGTATAAATATCAACTGTGAAGGAAGATTTTTCTGACAAGGTGATATATGAGAAAATATTGATAATCTCTAAATATCCTGCCTACAATGCCCATAATTGTTAATAATTGATCAGAATAGTGATCAAATCAAGTTGAGATGGATTCATCTGAAATTTATTTGAAATCCAAAAGTTGACATAAAAATCTTGGGAGCTTTCTGCCCCTCACCCATGAAACGGTACTGTGACTTTGTTTCTGAGAATTATGGCACTACAGGGTTTGTGTTTTACACACCACGCTGGCTACTCTATCTCCTGAAAAGCAATTTCAGCTTATACCTGCAATGTTGATGGGCTCCTAAGATCCCATGACCCAGGGGCAGAAACTCATCTTTCCAGACACATTCCATCCTGTCCATGTTGATGTGACTTAGGTATAAGTTAAATCTAAAATTTTACCTATGTAAAGTTGGAGAATCAGGCTTGCACCGTTCATATGAAGACATATTTCTTGGATAAAATAAAATAACCAGTTAAAAAACAAAACAAAACAAACAAACAAAAAAAAACCCTTGAAACTTTGAAGCGTGAAACAAAACCCACAATGATGCTTTCCTGAACATTTTTGGAAAAGGAAAAGGTCCTTTTCATTCCCTTTCATCCACTGTAACTTTTGGAAACTTTTAAAAAATAAATGACTAGGGAAGTGAGATTAAAAAGACACACAAATATGTAAGCGCCACGTAAAAGTTTATCTTGCTCTCTATGAGCATAAATCTGTTCTGTTTCATTGGTCTAAAGGTTTCTAGACGCTCCTGCTCCATTTTAAATCCTGCCTCATCACGTGTGAGTGACAGCTTGGTGGTGGCACTGGCCTGGGGACAGAACAGCAGGCCTGCAGAGCTGGGGGACCTCCCCTGTCACGGTCCTGCGGGTCTTCTCTTTCCCCAGTGACATCACAGTTCCCAACCCCATGGCATGCTATAGTTTTGAACTGCCATCTCCTCGCTTTTCTAGATATAGCAGCTTCATTTAGGAGACATGTTTCTAAGTATTTCACATTTAAATTTGCAGTGATGCTCTTTTGGGCTTCATGCCTTGGCATCCTCTTTGATTCTGCCAGCTCCCTTACCTAAATCCCTATATCGTTTAGTTCAGGCATCTCTTCTCCTTCTTTGCCTGTTCCAACCCTTCTAGGTCGGTTCTCCTGCTCGGAGCTGTCCCAGCCCGCGTCCAGTCTAAGGTAACGCTGTGGCTGAATCACTTCCTGGGCGACATCCGGAGCTGTAGCATTGCCCTGCCCACACACTTTCTAAGGCTCGCGATTGCCTGTCAAA